TTGTTGAAAGGATAAATTAGCAAAACTCTTCTCTGAGTAAGGCAATCCAAAAGATTGGGCTCACCAGGAATCAGACTTGCCATAAACAATAACCCATCCAGAAAAGGGAGGGTTTTATCAAATCTATTTGACTTCAGAAGACCCTAGAAACTGTATTGAAATTCCTGGTTTGTGCATACGCACTTCACAGAAGTTTTTCAAGGCTATGAAAGGGCCCAAAGGCTTTTCAGGCTTTCTCAAGGCTTTCAAAAGGGCCCAAAGGAATGGGAAATTAATTGCATGGACACACAGAAGTGGAACTTTTTGAACACTTCCTTCATTCCATGAATTGAGAATCACTGTGAGTCTTGCCTAAAGATATCAGATCGATACTGCTTTAGGCAAAACTGTAAATGAAAAGGTCATCAAGACGATCAGCAAAGTATATATTAATTTATCTTTGTACATAGCAAGGTTCATTCTTTTTTTTTTTTTAATTTTTTTTTTCAACGTTTATTTATTTTTGGGACAGAGAGAGACAGAGCATGAACGGGCGAGGGGCAGAGAGAGAGGGAGACACAGATTCAGAAACAGGCTCCAGGCTCTGAGCCATCAGCCCAGAGCCCGATGCGGGGCTCGAACTCACGGACCGCGAGATCGTGACCTGGCTGAAGTCGGACGCTTAACCAACTGCGCCACCCAGGCGCCCCAGCAAGGTTCATTCTTTCCTGCAAAACAAGTCTAATACTATGGTAAAAAATGCTAAAGAATCAGGGAGACAGTATTTCCTGATACTACTTCACCAATATAGAATAATTAGAACTATGCCTCTTTGTTTCATAAAGGTTTTCAAAAGAATTTGAAAGAATGTAGAGTATATCCTCACTGGTAAAGGAGGAGTTAGTCATTTTATAAAATGCTTAAAAACCACTTTATTTTTAGAATGTTCCCTTCTGTCATTGACATCTTAATGTACTGTAATTTTGAAATGTTTGCATGTTGAGTGAGCATAGCACAAGCACTTTGCAGCAGTGAGAATAATTGCTACTTAAATGTGCTATAAATCGATATATAATGCAAGGATGCACAATAATGGCTTGGAACATTTACTATACTTTAATAGTAATAAAAAAATAGTTTAAAAAATCCAAAATACTGAACAGAATACTCGCTGTAAGTATATTCTCTAGTCCTTTATTCGTTAACTATTTGTTAAAATGATACTCAAAACAGTGAAATCCATGATTTTAAAGCTGTGTATATATAAGCTTCACACTTTTGAAAGAATCACAAGGAGGATATAATATATATTATAATATAATAATATAATAACATGAAACTTTTGATCTCAGAGTCGTGGTTTCGAGCCCCACGTTGGGTGTAGAATTGTTTAAAAATAAACAAAATCTTGGGGCGCGTGGGTGGTTCAGTCAGTTGAGTGTCTGATTTTGGCTCAGGTCATGATTTCATGGTCTGTGAGTTCTAGCCCCGCATCGGGCTCCGTGCTGACAGCTCAGAGCCTGGAGCCTGCTTCGGATTCTGTGTCTCCCTCTCTCTCTGCCCCTCCCGTGCTCATGCCCTGCCCCTCCCTTGCTCATGCTCTGTCTGTCTCTCTGTTAAAAATAAATAAACATTAAAAAAATTTTTTTAATTAAAAAAAGTTTAAAAATCTTAAGAGGTAAAGGAAAAATAAATCATATCGTCTCTAAATTTAAACATTTCTGCATATCTTTAAAAACAACAATTTTGTGCACAGTTGAAAACTTGCTAATAGAACAGGTAAGTGCAAAAATACTGCAAAGTAAAAAAGTTTTCTTAATATTTAAGACCTGATTAGAACAAGGAAGTTTCAAAAATTGGAGGGAAAAGTGGATAGTGTTAGGTGAGAGGATTTTTCCTGAATTCAAAGTCCAAAGCTTAGTTATTTGTGGAAAAAGTTTAAAAAATTTTAAAATAAATACACCTTTTCAGGATGCCTGGGTGGTTCAGCTGGTTAAGTGTCCTATGGTAGAGCCCCTCCCTAAGGAACATGGTGGGGGCCTCCTCAGAACAAAGGAAGGCAAACATGGCCCAATCAACTCCTATACACATATGCGTAGCTCTGACATGACTCTATAACCTGGACTGTGTCCAATCAGACTGTATATAAAGCCTCAGTGTTGGGGCGCCTGGGTGGCGCAGTCGGTTAAGTGTCCGACTTCAGCCAGGTCACGATCTCGCGGTCTGTGAGTTCGAGCCCCGCGTCGGGCTCTGGGCTGATGGCTCAGAGCCGGGAGCCTGTTTCCAATTCTGTGTCTCCCTCTCTCTCTGCCCCTCGCCCGTTCATGCTCTGTCTCTCTCTGTCCCAAAAATAAATAAACGTTAAAAAAATAAAATAAAATAAAGCCTCAGTGTCCTGTCTCTCTGTGCGAGAATTCTGCTACATTTCGTGGGGGCTCATCCAGGATTTGGAGATGGCGCGTTTCCACCTCTTTTGTCATTGGGGTGCGAGCCTCCAAGAGCTGGGAGAAGCAACCTTGCCTGGCACCAGCAGACCGGGTTTATAGACTAGCCCCTCCCAGACTGCAGGGCAAGGACCCCATGTGTACCAACGGAACCCATAAGGCCCAGGAACCAGCTCAGGTAGCACCGCTGGTCAGACGGGTAAGAACCTGGGTTCATTTTGGTAGACCTGCCCCTAAGAGGCAGAAGAGGAACCTGATCACCTCCCAGAGTTGCCTGAGTAGTTCCATAAGGAACGAAACCGCAATTCCAAGGCGCTGGGTGCTGGGCAGCGGGTTGGAGTCACTGTGTGACTGTGTGTGAATGAGACAGACAGCAGAAAGGTTCCAACCTGACCGATGGGCCTAAGCAAGTGTTGAGTCCCTTTCCGTGGTTCCGTGGCAACCTCATACGGCTTAAGGCAGTGTCAGACTTCTTCGGGAGTCTGATCTGGGTCAGAGCTTGATACTGAACCCACCAATGCTAAGAGGTGCCTGAAGTATCTCCTGGAGGATGGAGAGTGCTGGCCTCCTGAGGGAGGTATTCAGTACAGTACTATATTACAGTTAGATCTATATTGTAGAAGAGAGGGTAAATGGTCAGAAGTTCCTTGTGTGCAGGTCTTCTTTGCCTTAAAGGGGCCAAGAAAGGCAAGTACTTGCAAACTCACCCACTGAGGCCTCTCCTCAGGAAAAGCCACCTGTTAGACCCACATGCCCTCCTTATCCAGGATTTCCAGGGACAAAAAAAATTCTCCCCTTAAAGTCAAGGCATGTTCAATGTATCTATTGACTGAAAAGCCTCATGGGGGATTTGGCCCCATAAAGGTTTCATTTTCCTTGCAAGATTCTAAGCAAATAAATAGAACCTGGGCAAATTTTCAGACAACCCTGATTAATATACAGAAGTGCTCCAAAACCTAACCCAGATTGTGAAAAAAAAAAGAGAGGTAAAAAAAGGTTCCCCCCCCCTTTTGTCAGCCCAAAAATATGGGGAAAAATATGATTTTAACCAAAAGGGCAGGACAGCACACCCCTTTAAGTTGTTTTACTTAAGTCTTGAAATTGCCCCTCCTTTGATCCAAAAGCTGGGGAGATGGTGATGATGTCCTCACTGCCAGCCTCCAAATGCTCCACATTTGTGTTGTTTCTGTTTAGCAAAGAAATGGATGCCTGTGCCATATAAGGGACAGATGACCATGATATATAAAGGGCTTTTACTGGAGTACATAGGAGCCATTTTGCTACACTTAGCCCAGTGTATGCCAATTTGTAACAACCTAGATACTCTACAATGGATAGCCACATGACTGGAGCATATTTACATGGCACTGTTGAAAAAGGCAAGGGAACAGACCTTGACTTTGGCCCTTTTAGCCCCCTTGATAGTCAATTTCATCTTTACCAAAAAATGGTTTTTGCTAGCCTTTTAAAGTATATTTGTAAAGATGATTACTGTTGGGCCAAAATAAAATTAGTGCATCCTTCTACAACCAGGGAAATCTTTCTTGGCCACAGTCAATACCCCCAAAGTCCCGCAGGCAGAAAACGGAGGGATAGCGGAAATCAGCAAAGACAAGTTTCAGCTCTCAGAGGTAGGGTCAAGCCTGGATAAGAACAAACGCCCCCCGCAACTCACAAGACTGACAAACTTTTTGGCTGCCAGTCGAATAGCCAGCCAAAACACAGGGCCAGGAGATGAGGTTTCTCCTGGCTAGCTATGGAAAATTAAGATAAGTGATGCCTCTTCCTCCTTTTGCCTATAGACGGGCAATTCCCCAACTAAGTCCAATACTCCTTTGAGGTGCATTCTGAAAAACTGGGATGATTTTGATCCATAAACTCTAACAAAAAAAAAAAAACCCAACTCACTAATTATGATGGGGCTGGAGGTCCTATACGGAACTTCCTGTTTCCTACTGGGGCCCAGGTAATTCCATCCCAAGATCGTCATTGGGACTATGACCATCCCATTGAGAAATGGTATTGCCAACACTTCTAAGCTTGTGCTGCTTTAGAGAAATTAAGGAAGTCCAAGATTAAGCCCTTAAATTATGCTAAATTAGCCGCTATTTTATAAACACAGAATGAGAGCCCAATGGCCTTCCTGGAGAGGTTGAGGGAGCCTCTCATTAAATATATGGCTATCTCCCCTGACACCCCTAAGGCTGAGGACAAATCTTTCACTCAATCAGCCCTAGATATTCAGAGGAAATGCAAAGATTAGCTGTTGGCCTGGAAGGAACCCTGAAGCTGTTTTTACAAACTGCCAATTGGGTATATTACAACCAAGATAAAAACAAGCAAACAAAACAAACAAACAAAAACAGGAAAGGAGGCTTAAGAAAAATCTGAGTCTTTAGTTATGCACTACGTCAGACCAGGCTTCCCGAGGTCCTGGCACCAAATGCCACTTATGTGGCCAGTCAGGGACTGGAAGCGAGATTGCCCTCAGAAGGGACAACAGAAGTCCCTTGTGTGGAGACAATCAATGCAAGTCTGAATGCCCTCGGGGACCTCTGTCTGTGAGGGCTCAGATAACCACTGCCCTGAAAGGGACTGATGGGGTCTGGGGCTTTTCGGGGTGGATCCCGGGAACCCACTGTCTATTGGAAGCCTGGAGCCTCAGGTAACTCTGGAAAACTCAGGTAACTAAAAAGCTGGTTCATTTCCTTCTTGATAATGGAGCCACTTTCTCTGTCCTTCCTTTCCACTCCAGGCCAACTATCCAAACGCAGCATGGCGATTAGAGGCTTCTCTGGAAAACTTACAACTAAATTTTTCTCTCAGCCCCTGGGAATGGGGAAAACTAATTTTTTCTCATTCTTTCTTGATAATACCAGAAAGCCTTACTCCCTTGCTAGGAAGGGACATTATAACTGAATTACAGACTATAGTGCTACTAACTCCAGAACAGATAAACAATTGTGTGAGTTTTGGGGAATTACTGGATATTATATGCTATAGATACTGGGGTTCAGGAAAATAGCTTGCCCACTACATCAATTATTAAAGGAGACTCAATCCCACCTACTCTCTCAAGGAAATAAACTGGGGTCTTACTCATGGATACTGTCTAGCCCTCAGGATGGTTACAAACAGAGCAGGGCAATTACTATTATCTAGCTCACAGAGCTAAAAGATCATTAAAGCACTGCATCAGGCCTTTCATTTAGGGAGGGATAGAACTTATCAAATGGCCCAAAGGATGTTTACCAGGAAAAATTTGTTAAGGACAGTTCAGCAAGTAGTATCAGCTTGTGAAGTATGTCTTAGAAACAATCCTCTCAACCACAAACTTGCTCTCCTAGGCAATCAAGGAACTGGAGGCTATCCAGGGAAGACTGACAATTAGGTTTCACTCATATGCCAAGGTCAAAGGAATTCCAACATCTGTTGGTATGAGTTGATACTTTTATTAACTGGGTAGAGGTCTTCCCCTTTAAAAGAAATGGCGGGGCACCTGGGTGGCGCAGTCGGTTAAGCATCCGACTTCAGCCAGGTCACTATCTCCCGGTCCGTGAGTTGGAGCCCCGCGTCAGGCTCTGGGCTGATGGCTCAGAGCCTGGAGCCTGTTTCCGATTCTGTGTTTCCCTCTCTCTGCCCCTCCTCCGTTCATGCTCTGTCTCTCTCTGTCCCAAAAATAAATAAACGTTGAAAAAATATATATATATAAAAGAAATGGAAAAGGCACAAGAAGTAATAAAATCTCTGCTTTATAAAATAATGCCCAGGTTTAGCTTACCTAAAAATTTGCAAATTAATAATGGTAAATGGCAGCCTTGATTCTTTCTCTGTTAAGACTCCCAGCTCCTGAAAAAGTTTCACACCTCGAAATAAAGCAAACTGGCTGCTTATGCTCAGCAAAAGTCTAACACCTCACAAGCATTAGATGCTTAATAAAAAATTAAATATAGTTAGGACCAGACTCTTGGAGAAGAGAGCCGCCATCGATTACTTACTGCTCCTCCATCACCTGGGTTATGAGAGATCCCCTGTGTTTCAATCTAACCGACTGAAATACACGATGACATGTGTTTCAATCTAACCGATAATTCTCAGAGTCTTAGAACTGATAGATGACATCTGGGCTAACTGGACAAAGTCAGGGTGTTCCCTGGATTGTTTCACTGGTTTGGGAACTGGGGGGGACATTATCTTTAGATACCATCTTGTTGGTCAGTATAATCTTCACTTTGTGTTCTTCTCTCTGTGTCTGCCAATGTGGGCGCCACCTCATGCCAGCCAGCCTGCCTGTAGAACCATGCAGTGGGCCATATCAACCAACCCTTGGGTAGACTCTAACTGCTGTACCCCCACACTGTCCCTTATCAGCTTGAAGAAGCCAGAACAGTCGTCATCCCTGTTCCCTAAGGTCAGTTAGGGGCCCTGTTCCAGGGGGAGGAACGAATAGGGAAAGGGTTAACATTAGGCAGGGAGAGATAAGGGACCTTCAGGGAGGCAGACTGCAGCTGCAAGTGGGAGGCTGAAGAAGCAGATGAGGTTCTCCTCGTCTAAAATCCTTTACAGGTGCCCTCCCCCATTTATCAAGGGCATAAGAGGGGATCTAAATGAGATACGCAATCTAACCCTAAGGCAATAGATTCGGGTCCTCGGCACTACCCTAAGCACTTTACACCACTGGGTTAGGGAGCGATTACCTGTGAGTCTGACCACAGACGCTCACCCCTTTGCACCAGAAGATGCTGTATGGGTGAAGGAATGGAATGCCCAACCCCTAAAACTCCTCTGGAGGGGCCCGTTCACTGTCATTTTGTCCATCCCTACTGCAGTAAAGTGGCCAGAGTGGGTCCCTGGATTCACCACAGCAGAGTGAAGCTGGAATCTTTAAACTGGGAGTGCATTCCTGATCCATCAACGCCGTGCACACTAACCATATAGAAGAAGCATTCTGCAACTCCAGAGGCTCCAGGAGACTGCAGCCCTGCTTTAGTCACTCCGGAAGCTGACTAATCTACGCACGGCAGAAGCTTGAGGAATCGGTGGTACAGAGGAACAAACAGACTGTCCTTCTTTTCTGTATCTGTTTCCTTAATGTGATGTGCTATTACCCCTTGTTTCTCACTGTTATTGTGATTCTTGCTCTACTTTTTGCCATAGGATTGGTAGAGGCCGCCCCAGCAGGCTGGGAGTGTGGTGAGAGGTTTCTGCTAGCACTCATCTTCCTTTTGCGGATAGGATGCCTCGTTGGTATTGGTTGCTTCTAATCTGGAAGCAACAGATTCTAATGGTCATCATGTGACCCATGTATTCGCATAACCAGGTCAGGCCAGGGAGTCGCTTGGACCTTACTATACCATACACACTTCTCATGCCAGGGAAAGATCCTGGGGACCTGCAGACACAATAAGACCACCTATTCTATCTGCCAATGAGAACATCAATACACTTGCTTCAACCCACACAGCACTCCCCAGTAGAGAAATGTCTAGAGGTCCGGAGTCACCCCAAGACAGGCACCGCCAGTGTGGGTTGACTAACTAACAAAACTCAAATTACCAATCCAAATTGGCCGGTGTCTATATTCTCTGATGTAGGTATAGCCACAGGTGACATATTGCCATACGGTTTGCCATGTGGAGGTCTGACATGGGACCGAGAATACCAACTCAATGATAAATACATGTGTGAGGGGTCTGGTACGCGTGGTTCCTGGCCCAGGCACGGGAATTCTTCTGTCTTTATTGCAGCTGTGTCACATGAACCACCTGGCAGACTCCAAAACAGACAAAACAGAACTCCAAAAGGGTGTGGCTGAGTCAAACTACCAATCGGGAACCTGTAGCCCCATTTATTTTACCATCCTTGACCCAGGAGACTCTAAATGAAAAACGGATCACCAGATTGGTAAACTTATCTATGGGCAGGGTACAGACCCAGGAACTGTGTTGGATTTTAAGAGAGTTACTGTCACATAACCATAAGGCCACAACCCACCAGGTCTTTCATTCCTTTTATGAAGAAATGGATAAGGGTCCTCTCCTGCTTCCATCATGACAAAAACTCCGCTTCGAGCCCTAGCAGAGTTTATAGCCCAGACTCTAAAGATGTCTTTTTGTTATGTATGCAAAGGAACCAGCATGGTGGGGGGGGGAGGGATGGGGATCAATGGCCATGGGAGGCTAGAGAATTAGATCTCCACAAACCTTATAGTGGAACAGAATACCCCAGTCCTACTACTGGGGTTTGACTCCTCAAAACCTCAATTCTTGAAAAAAACTGCCTTGCCCAGTGGGGAAGGAAGTTCACCATCTCTGTTGGAAGCTTAACATGACTAGACTATAACTCAACCACCCAGGAAACCCAATGGTGGGGGTCCCCAGAGAACCTTGAGCCAGATCCCCACCCCTTGTCTAACTTCTTCTTCTCTGAGAGGCCTGGGACAATGTCGACGCAGCCATCAAATGAAGGGCCCCAGGTGGACTACACTGGATATGTGGAAGGACAGCCTGTACAGTACTTCCCTCAGGCCTGTCAAGGTCATGTGTGCTGGAAACTATTTGCCATCTTTCTTCCTGCTCTCACCTACCAGAGAGGAACATTTGGAAGTCCAAGTGTATGGGGACGGGAGACTCAAAGGAAACAACATGCCCTACAACTTGGCAATTGAAAAGATAATGAATGGCCTCTTGAGCATATAATCCAATGTTATGACCCTGCCACCTGGGCAGAGGATGGGTCCTCGGGCTACCGCATCCCCATTTACATGCTAAACCACATAATCAGACTGCACATAGTTGTAGTAATTATAACCAATAAAACTGTCAGAGCTCTTAACTTACTAGCCAAGCAGGAAACCAAAATGTGCAATGCTATCTGTCAAAATCACTTGGCCTTAGATTACTTACTTGCTTCTGAGGGAGGAGTTTGTAGAAATTTTAACCTGAGCAATTGCTCTCTATGGATAGATGATGAATAAAAAGTCATGGAGGAGGTCACGGATCAAATGAGAAAGGTTGTCATGTCCCAGTCCAGACCTGGAAAGTTGGAACCCTGGCGAGTTATTTGGAGGATGGTTTTTCAACTCTCAGGGTTTCAAAACTCTCATAGGTATTATTTTCTTGATTTGGGTATCTTGCTTAATTCCACCTTGCCTAGTTCACCTGGTTATACGGTCTATCTCCAACCTCACTGAGGTAATGGTTGAAAGGAAAATGGCCACGCATGTGATGATGTTATGGAAATATAAACCTCTAACCAAGATGATGCTCTTTGACCCAAAAATAGGGGAGTCCGAGCATCAAAGGGGGGGGGGGATGTGGTAGGGCCCCTCCCTAAGGAACGTGGTGGGGGCCTCCTCAGAACAAAGAAAGGCAAAGTGGCCCAATCAACTCCTATACACGTATGCGTAGCTCTGACATGACTCTGTAACCCAGACTGTGTCCAATCAGACTATATGTCACCATATATGGGAGACAAAGAAGTAGAAATTGCATAAAAGGCTACACCCTGCTGTACTCGGGGCTCAGTTTTTTGGGTACAAACCCACTGAGCCCATGCCAGCATGACAAATAAAGTTGCTTCCTAGACAAAAAAAGCCTCGGTGTCCCATCTGTCTATGTGAGAATGCTGCTACAGTCTCACTCTTGATTTTGACTCAGGTCATGATCTCAGAGTCGTGAGATGCAGCCTTGCAGTGAGCCCATGACGACAGGCTCCATCACGGGCTCCATTATGCCCTGAGCCTACTTAAGAATCTTGTTCTCCCTCTTCCCTCTGTCCTTCTCCTGCTCGCGTGTTCTCACTCTCTCGTATGCACACTCTTCAAAATAAAATAAAATAAAATAAAATAAAATAAAATAAAATAAAATAAATATACCTTTTTTAGGATGGAATTTTATTTCTTTCTCCTACATCCTCCTGGCATCTGGCATATTAGTCTATAATAAGGTAAAAAAAAAAAAACAAATGTTCTTTTATAAATAATGTACAGGAGGTTAATCTAGATAATGCTTGATTATTTTGCAGATGTCTGAGGGTACTCAACATAAAATCTTCCCTGGCTTCCACCCTGTGCCTTTGGTCTAGCTGCTCAAGCTATCACTAAAACTCCAGGCTCCTTCCATCTTTCTGGTCTCATGCTTAGTGTAAGAGTGTTTTCCTCATGGTAACAAAATAGCTTCCTCAGCTCCAGACATCACATTTGCAAATGACAAGTCAAAAGACAAACCAGAAAGGACTAAGAACCTCTCCTCATATATATCTTTCTATTAGGAAGAAAAATATTTTCTAGAAGTTCCCCAGCCAATTTCTCTTTTCTCTTTTGTTTCAATGGCCACAACAACAATGTCACCTGCCTCCCCTAAGGGAATCACAGTAAAAAGGAATGGATATTTCCACTGAGTTACTTCCATTGAATTAAAAACTCACAATTTGTCCCCTGGGGCTAATGAGGGACTCACCTGTCCTGAGTATTCTGCTATCAAATCTCTGAATAAAATTGGGTTTCTGTTAGGAAGGATAAGGGGTAACATTGTTGTATGGTCAGTAACCAATGGCTCCTACCATACATACCACAGAGACTGGTATAAACACCTGAAGGGCAATTTATTCACTTAGACTGAAAAATATTATTGCCAAGAGAACTAGGCCCTTGAGTTCTCTGGCCAGCATATTATTTCTTTATAGAACAAAAAAAAGCTTCAAGGGAAGTTAAATTATCATGAAAAAGTGACTAGAATCATACATAGAGGAATAGTTATTTCTCTGTGCTCAGGTTGATTCCTTTGCCTGCAATGCCTTTTCCCTTTTTAAACTCCCACATATCCTTTAAAATTCAGCTTAAGCATTATCCCCTTTAGAAAGCTCTCTTTGTTACCCCCATCTTCTCCACCTGCACTTCCCACCCCCAAGCTGAATAACTTGCTTCTCTTCTGTATTACCATAGTATACTATGCACAAGTGTATCATTACACCTACTCTTTTGTATTGTACTTATCAATTTATGTGTCCTCTCCACCAAATGTGAGTTCCTTAAAAGCAGAAACTAGGCTAACTTGTTTTTATAGATTTAGTGGTTAGCACAGAGCTCAATATATGGATAGATATTTGCAGGGAGGCAGAATTATCACCCCTCTCCCAAAAGATATGAAATTTTAATCCCTGAAACCTGTTGCGATGGTTTTATGTGTCATCTAGGAGAGTGTTTTTGGATGAGATTAACATTTAAATGGGTGAACACAGATTGCTCTCCATAATGTGGGTGGGCCTCATCCAATCAGTTGAAAGCCTGAACAGAACAAAAAGACTAGCCTTCCTGAGCAAGACGGAATTCTCCAGCAGACTGCCTTAAGTCTGCCTTAAGCCTGCACCATCCACTCTGGTCCACACTGCAGATTTTGGACATGACAGCCTTCACAATAAATTTTATATATATATATATATATATATATATATATATATATATATATATATATACACACCCCCCCACACACACATATATATATATATATATACATATATATATATATATATACATATATAAGTTCTATTTCTCTGGAGCACCCTGGCTAATACACCTGTGAATATATTACCTTACATGGCAAAAGGGAGTTTGCAGGTGTGATTAAATTAATAATCTTAAAATGGGAAGATTATAAGATTATCGGGAATTATTCAGTAGGCCTAATGTAATCTTTGTAAGAGAGAGGCAGAAATGTCAGACTCAGAGAAGAAGATGTAATGACAGAAGCAGAGGTCCACATGACATCATTGCTAGCTGGGGGCCCCAAACCAAGGATAGTATTTAGAAGCCTGAAAAAAACAAGGAAATTATTTTCTCCTAGAGCTTCTAAGGGTCCACAGCCCTGTCAACATGCTGATTTTAGCCAAGGGAGACCCTTTTTTAAATTTCTTACTACCATAACTGTAGGATGATAAATTTATGTTGTTTTAAGTCAGTGTGTTTGTGGTAAATCGTTGGAGCAGCAACAGGAAACCAATACAGGGGCAAAGAAAATTTTTTGAGTGGCAAGATGACAAGTATTTGATGCATTAAGCTATTATAATAGTAACTACTATTTAATCATTGCTTGCTACACACTAGGCATTTTTACGC